TCTCTGCTGAATCATCCTCTCGGGCTGCTGGATCTCCTCCGACGGCGGCACCTACATCCTCCGCTGGATCATCCTCCGTCCCGTCGCTGGATCCTCTTCCTCGGCTGCACCTACATCCTCTGCTGGATCATCCCTCGTCCGCCGCCGGATCTTCTTCCTCGGCTGCACCTACCTCCTCCGCTGGATCATCCTCGTCCGCCGCCGGTTCTTCTTCGTCGGCTGCACCTACCTCTTCTGCTGAATCATCCTCTTCGGCTGCTGGATCCTCCTCCGCGGCGGCACCTACATCCTCCGCTGGATCATCCTCGTCCGTCGCTGGATCCTCTTCCTCGGCTGCACCTACATCCTCTGCTGAATCATCCTCTTCGGCTGCTGGATCTTCTTCCTCCTCGGCTGCACCTACCTCCTCGGCTGAATCATCCTCTTCCGCTGCTGGATCTTCTTCCTCCTCGGCTGCACCTACCTCCTCGGCTGAATCATCCTCTTCCGCTGCTGGATCTTCTTCCTCCTCGGCTGCACCTACCTCCTCGGCTGAATCATCCTCTTCCGCTGCTGGATCTTCTTCCTCCTCGGCTGCACCTACCTCCTCGGCTGAATCATCCTCTTCCGCTGCTGGATCTTCTTCCTCCTCGGCTGCACCTACCTCCTCGGCTGAATCATCCTCTTCCGCTGCTGGATCTTCTTCTTCCTCGGCTGCACCTACCTCTTCTGCCCAATCATCCTCTTCGGCTGCTGAAACCTCTTCCTCGGTTGCATCTTCCTCTTCTGCCGAATCTTCCTCTTCGGCTGCACCTACCTCCTCTGCTGAATCTTCCTCTTCGGCTGCCGCTTCCTCCTCTGCCGAATCTTCCTCTTCGGCTGCACCTACCTCCTCTGCTGAATCTTCCTCTTCGGCTGCCGCTTCCTCCTCTGCCGAATCTTCCTCTTCGGCCGAACCTACCTCCTCTGCTGAATCTTCCTCTTCGGCTGCCGCTTCCTCCTCTGCCGAATCTTCCTCTTCGGCCGAACCTACCTCTTCTGCTGAATCATCGTCCTCTGCGGAATCTTCCTCTTCGGCTGAATCGTCCTCATCCGCCGAATCTTCCTCGTCGGCTGAATCTTCCTCTTCCGCCGAACCTACCTCGTCTGCTGAATCTTCCTCGTCGGCTGAACCTACCTCGTCTGCTGAATCTTCCTCCTCTTCCGAATCTGCGTCGGAATCCCCATCTGAATCTTCCTCTGACTCTTCTTCATCGGATGAAGCAACCCCTACGAGCACTGGAGGATCCAGGCGCCGTGTGCGTCGTGAGCTTTTCGCCCGTCAAGCCAGCACCCCAGCCACGATTGTCCTCAAGCTCGGCACTGGAGCCAACACGGTCCAAGGTACCTACGAACGCACCAGCACCGACACCCCTGGTCTTGACAGCGGTGCAAGCTCTCTCGGCCACTCTTTGGCTGCCATGTTTGCTGCTGTCTTGGCTGTCTTGGCTGGTGTATTCGCCTTCTAAGCGGATTGACCTTTTTATACATCGCATCATAGTGTGATGGGGATGGGCTATATTTTGCATCTGTGTCTTGCTTGTAATGGAATACCAACAATAGAATCGTAGCTGTTTTTGTTCACAGTTTTTGCTATTGGTCGACATGTCCCCCATTCGTTTACGGTGTCAAGCTGTGGCAGACCTCATTTTTCGCAAAGGATATACAGAAAAAGATGATGTTGCACCTAAAAACCTTCCAGCATCAAAGGTCAACTTTTACATGTTTGTCGATGGTCAAACTGCTTGCATGGTGCACAACGTGAAAGATGGCGGATGTACGTTTGCAACCACATAGCAAATGTTTAGATGATACGGGTGTGACATAAAGCCGTCGACGAAGACATGTGGCATTTGGCCACTACGCCGACAGATTGTTTCTCCATCATATCTGATGTCCATGAAAGCGTGCCTTTTTGCCAAAGTACTGCTGTCCGACAGCAAGTGAGACCTTTGAGTAGTTGGGTAGACTCGAGTTAGCCTCTACCCTCCGAACAGCTGTCTGGTTTGCTGTAACGAAGCCAAACTCTTTGCGCAAGTTGCAGGCGAGTAAGGTGGCAGGTATGCTTCCGAATCAATCATTGCCTCTTCTCCAGTCCTTTTCGTTGGCTTCTTGGCCAGAGTTCAAAGCGCTTGTTCAAATGCCCATGCACTCAAAATGTTTGTTTTCCAGAAAGTCTACTAGTTAAAGCGTAAAAAGTTGTGGCACAAGGCGCCAATCGACGAGAACTCTTCGCGTCCGCTTTTTGCAGTTTTCTTGCGGGCGATTGGAGTAGATATTGACCGATAGCCAAGGAAAAAAAACACAAGCAGAGCTGTAGGAAGTAGCAAAGACGTTGTGTTCGTGAGGGAGAACAAGAACGCAGACTTTACCTTCTTCACGGAAACGCCTTGTGGAGACTGATCTAGCTAGTTCCTGGAGATCGCAAGGCCGTCATGGCACGTTCTTCCAACTCTCCACTGCCGGGAACCTTGGGTCCTGAAGGCCCAGAAGGCCCCAATATGCGCCGTCAACCATCCTCTCTAGGCCCGAGCTGGAGTCGAAGTGTCAGTTTTCTAGATTCTGATGTCCTGCCGAGTCCAGTGCCCTCACGACGGGCCTTCAATCCCTTTTACAGTGGGTATCTTGACTGCTTTGTTCCATGATACTATTTATCCTAAGTTGGTTGCTCTCTTCAACCATAGATTATCATGCAGACCGCGCAATGCAGGAGGTAGCACCACAAAGAGTAACGCTTTAATACCCACTGCTGACGTTCGATATATTTGTGCACAATTGTAGGAGGACACTAAATACTGGGCTCATCGTCTCACCAAGGCAGAAACAGAGCCGTTTGCAGGAAACTCCTTGTCTAGGGACTCATCACATGGATCAGACATTCCCCATTCTCAAACAGCTCTCAACGAGCTTCACCGATTTCCATCCCTGAGCCTTGCCGAAAGAATGGCCGAATATGCGGGCGCACCGGTCACATCGGAGGTGGTGGCAAAGTACTCTAAAGCCGAGATTAAAGGTTTGCCAATGTTGGTCTACGTCAATTTCCAATCGTGCTTGACACTGAACTCTGCTTTTCGGTTTCAGACAAAGAACTTAGTGATGAACTCCAGATGATATTCGAGTCTCTCCAGAAATGTCTACAATTGAGGAAGAGATACATGATGGGCAGTTATCAGTGCGCTGGTGACAATCCAAAAGACGCAGAAGACTGGGAAATTTATCCACCCCCGCCGCCTCCGAGTTATCCTCCGCCGGATGAGGCAGACACGACCACCTTCGTTCCCGAAGCGCCACCACCTCAAGAGGAGTTTGATATTTCAAAGTGTCGGATACCGGAGGCTGACACAGTACGTTGAAAGTGCGGGCTGCTGAATACACCAGCTGACAACTGTCTTGCGTCTTTTTCACGTAGCGTCATTTCAAGCTACGCGATGACGGTGTTTTTCAGATTTACAGTAGTCAGGGGGGTGGGTAACAAGTGGAGTATTTAACTTTCGACCTCATACTGATATTGCGGGACCCGCAGATGCCGAAGGAAATTCGCATCCCTTGTGTGAGGTGCCATCCATTAAGGATTATTTCGTTGATATGGACTATATTCTCAACGTCATATCGGATGGTCCAACAAAAAGCTTTGCGTTCCGTAGGCTTCGCTACCTGGAGAGTAAATTTCATATGTATGTACTCCTGAACGAGTACCAGGAAATTGCAGACTCCAAGGTATTCTCCTTGCTTCTGTTCTGTCTAAGGAGCTGGTTTGTAACTAATGTGCGCACGTCAGCGGGTACCACATCGGGATTTCTACAATGTGCGGAAGGTCGATACGCACGTACACCACTCCTCTAGCATGAATCAGAAGCACCTTCTCCGGTTCATCAAGTACAAATTGAAGAAAAGTCCGAATGTAAGCAGACATATCTTTACGATCCATGAATTGCTAGTAATCTCCGAACCTCTCTTGCCAGGATGTCGTCATCTTTCGTGACAATCAGCACCTCACGCTCAAAGAAGTATTTCAAAGTCTGCATCTCACAGCGTACGACCTTAGTATTGACACTCTTGATATGCACGTAAGTGGCCTCGTGATATTGCAATGCTCCCTGTTATCTAATTTACTTTATTTCTGCCTTCAGGCGCATAAGGATTCGTTTCATCGCTTTGACAAATTCAACCTCAAGTACAATCCTATTGGCGAATCTCGCCTCAGGGAAATTTTCATGAAAACGGATAACTACATTAATGGCCGATATCTCGCCGAATTGACGAAAGGTGCGTTCCTGTTTGACGCATATCGGACTGCTTTGTAAGTCAACGTATGACGATGTTCACATTTCAACAGAGGTGTTCTCCGATCTTGAGGCTAGCAAGTATCAGATGGCTGAATATCGTGTATCCATCTATGGGCGGTATGCATGGCGGACTTTACCAACCTACGAAGCAGTGCAAATAGACGTTCTCAAACGATCTCGTTTATAGGTCGACTCAAGAATGGGACAAACTGGCAAAATGGGTTGTAGAAAACAAGCTATTCTCCAACAATGTACGATGGTTGGTGCAGGTTCCACGTCTGTATGATGTCTACAAAAAGTCGAATTCCATCAAAAGTTTCGAAGACGTTGTGCGAAGTGAGTACGTGAATTTCCAGTTTGCGCGCTGTGCAGAAGTTGCTTAACTAGCATTATTATGGGTTAGACGTATTTCAACCTCTGTTCGAGGTGACAAAGGACCCGAGTAGTCATCCAGAACTGCACATTTTTTTGCAACGCGTTGTGGGCTTTGACAGTGTGGATGACGAGAGTAAGGCTGAGCGACGGACGTACAAGAAATATCCGTATCCAAAAAATTGGGACATTCCTTTGAATCCTCCGTATTCTTACTGGCTTTACTACATGTACGCGAACATGTCTACACTCAATTGGTGGCGAAAGGAGCGCGGATTCAGTAAGTCGTCAATTGGGCTGATCCCTTTTGAAGTGCTTCTCTGTAACTCTTTTCTCTGCCTTAGATACATTTGTGCTCAGACCGCATGCTGGTGAAGCCGGGGATACGGACCATTTGACATCGGCGTTTTTGACGTCCCATAGCATCAGTCACGGCATCTTGCTCCGCAAAGTTCCTGCTGTACAATACCTGTATGTCTGCGCTGACTTCCCGTGGCGTTTTCGCCAGTGGACTGAAAGCCTATTTTGGTAGATACTACTTGGACCAAATAGGCATTGCAATGTCGCCGTTATCAAATAACGCCTTATTCCTGACGTACGAACGCAACCCTTTCCTGAACTTCTTCCAACGTGGGCTGAATGTTTCGCTCTCGACGGATGATCCCTTGCAGTTCCATTTCACAAAGGAGCCCTTGACCGAAGAATATAGTGTTGCCGCTCAGGTTTGTCCATTCTTCACTACATTCGATCATCTCGATGGCTCTAACGCGTGAATATATGTCAGATTTGGAAACTATCTTCAACCGATATGTGTGAGATCGCTCGCAACAGTTGCTTGCAAAGTGGATGGGAAATGCAGATTAAGAAGCATTGGTTGGGTGAAAGATGTAACCTGCATGGTCCGGCGGGCAATGGTATGGCTATTAGACTAGAGATTGTGATCCATTTGCAAACCCCACTGATAATACTATCCCGGGCAGCTATTCACAAGACGAATGTGCCCAATATCCGTCTGGCCTATCGGTACCAAACCCTCATGGAAGAGCGGTATATGGTCCTTGGATCAAAGTGGCGAGCTCAAGGCATTATTGAAGACTCTGCACCCAGCACCGAGATGCAGGATACAGCAATCGTCGCGGAAGACCAGCACAAGGTTGCAGTTAGCAGTCACCTTCTTCCTGGGGACTTTAGAGAACTGCAAGCCAGTGCTCTGCTCGCGGAACAAGAGGACATCATGGCTGCTGACGGTAGTTACATTGGAGGGATCGATGAAGACGACAAACCACCATCCCGCAATGACCCTTCCCCAGGCGGGCGCAGAAAGACAATTCCGTCAGTCGTGTCAAAAGCTGCACCTATTTCGATTGCCCCAGAACCTCTTCTCCGCATGAATTCTCCTACCTCGACGCCGAAAGAGTACTTTAACAGCCCGACGATGACGGGAGGCGTTTTCAAGGATGATGTGAATGCGCCTTTTCTTGCGTTGGACGCTCCTGCGCTGCCCGTCATCCCGATAGGCGACACTGGTTTGATTCCAGGAGCGCATCTCGTAGCGGAAAAGAAACAATTGAAGAAATCGCTCGACGCTTCTGACACTATCCAAGACAAGTTTTGAACAATATATCTGTATTTTTTTGCACAAGTTTTTGAAGTTTGGATTATTTATATTATGAAACACGTGATTTAATACTTTGGTAATGATCCAGTGGCGGTGTCCCGTTTCCGTTTCCGTTTCCGATGCAGTTTGCCGTGCAGCTCATGACTTAACAATCAACGACGAAATTACTTTGTACAGCAAATCATGATAGTGTGGCCTCTTCTTAATTTGAACTTTGCCTGTGAAAAGTGCCAGACTGGTCACCGCAATGGCAGCTGTGCGCACACTGACCGAAAGCTCTTGGAAATACGTTCGAAAGGACGACCCACTTCTCAGTGCTCTCACTGTCGAGCACGACGAAAAGAAGGCGTGGGTCACTCGCATCATCGATGTATGTGTGGAGATGGGTCTACCATACTGAGAAAGAAGGTGCAAGGTCAGCACAACTCTGCTTTACATGCTACATGAGAAGTATATGCAGTATACTGATTCGAAACACAGTTCATTTTGATCCCAATGTCATTCTTGTGTTCACTCCGGAGCGAAGTAATGTAGATGCTTTGCGAAAGCAGCTCGAAGACACACCAAAGAGCACGTTGCTGATAAGAAGAAAGGCAAAGGGTGGTAAAGGAACTGGCGGTGAGGGTTCAGAAGCGGACGCTCTTGAGATAAGTTATACCCATGTAGACGTCATTGAAGAGTCGGTGAATTTGGATTTGAAGAAGATGATGGGTATGTTAGCATTAATTGCCTTTCGGTGGATGAGGTTAACATGATTCAAATGTGTTTGACTTGCAGAGAATCCGTGTACCTGCCAATTTGGTGGTACTTGCATTTGTTCAGAACTTCCGCCATCAAAGTCATGCGGCAGCGTAAAAGCAAAGAAATTCACCGCATCAAACTCTGCACAGCGTCCTGGCCTGGCATCATCCGCCCTTCTTGCCAACATTGCTGCGTATCCACGACCTATCGAGATCGGTCCTCCCCCAACATCATCACCCTTTCCGTACGCAGCTGGAATTGCCATTCCAGCTCTTCCACCGATGATGGGACATCAGCCCATCCTTCCAATGCCTCATCCTGGACAATTGGGGCCACTAGTACCTCCTATAGGAGGTGCCTCAACAGCCGTCATGAACCAACGTGTACCCACCCTCCTACCCAGCGGACTTTCCATGCCAACAAATCCATCATTTGCTGGCGCAATGAAATCTAACCAGCAATTTACGGATACAGGAGGACACGATCCTGAGCTTCTTTCCGCGTTATTCGCCCTGCAACAGGGCGGTGCTGTCGGTCAAGGAATGCCGCTACAACCGATATCTGGAAACAGTATCAATTCTCCAATGCTGGAGACCCAAAGCTCATCCAGCTGTTGTACTGGGAGGCGCAATACTCAAGACATATGGGCTTCCGCTCCCAAAAGCTGTTGTGGCGGGATTTCAGAATCAAAACCTGTCAGAGGTGGATGCTGTGGCAGCGTGGCACCACCACCGCGGAATGCTACTCGCTGTGGATGTCAGGGTAATAGTGTCCCGTCAGGAGGATGCTGCGGTGGAGGGTCACCGATCCCAGTGCAAAACGGCTGCTGCGGCACTTCAAGTGGAAAATCGGCAAGCGGATGTTGTGGAAGTAGGACAGCGGAGCCGGTGTCGAATGTAGGCACCTGTGGTGGGTCATCATTGGCTCCAAGCAGAGGCAGCTCTTGCTGTGGTACATCAAGCAGTTGTGGATGCTCGGGGGGTGGTTGTGGATGCTCAGGTGGAGGATGTGGGAGTACATCCGGGAGCCCTTACGAGTCGAGAAGCGATCTGGATGCCAAGGACCCAGCGGAACCACATTCACCAACTTGCGAATGTGGATGCCATCAAGACAGAAAGGACTGCGAAGACTGTGCCGCAGATCTATGCTCCGTCCACCTGATGCGAATATTGAGCAACGGGAGCGTTGGGGGCGACATGCACGACGCTGCGTCCCAAAGTGCCGCTCCAGGAGCTCAACCGTCGTGTTGTGGGGGGAATGATGCATTTGATATGTCTGAAATGCGAAATGCCTTGTGTGGTTGCGGGTGTGGTGGAGCAAAGTCTGGATCTGGGTTTGAAACCGAAGGGCAATTGTGTAGATGTGGCACTTGATAAATACTGTGACGAGTTGACGAGCATGATTTGATGAATTTGTAGAATATGATTTTTGCAAGCTGCTTTCCTAATATCAATGTACAATGAACAAAAGCAAACGACACAAGAGAAATGTGTATCTCCTTTGGGTAATGTTGATAAACGACATTTTTCTGATTCGAGTTCACCAATGACCATAGAAAGAGATTCAACAATGATATTGGCCGTCTTTTTGACTCGAAGGGACACTGATAAAGTAACAGCGCTACAAAAATCCCACTCGACCTTCGATAGAGCCTTTAAACATATGCAAAAAAGTTTCCAACAAACTCATCCCCCATGCGTTGCGTCTCTTGGACATAAGTTCACCAACCATTATCCTTCTTTTTGACTACAGAGCGAGCCCGACCGGATAAAGAATAGATGGTTGCACGTAAACCTATCAAGTGCAAGAGCTGCAATGGAGGTTAATGGGTCAACGTCCTAATCTAAATCGAAGGGCAATTTCCGTTTTATACCAAAAGTCGTCGTGGCGCGGTTATACACGTGATAGAGTATTACGTAAGTACCATCGGGGGGTCAGCGACGATGGGGGAAATCCATTTTGTGTGCGGATGGAGCGAAAACTCATAACGAACAGCTGGTTCCGCACGCCGTCGACGGCCGTACGCTCAAAAGCCCGCAATGTCAACTTCTTCGACAGCTGCCAAAAAATCTCCCACTACCACCCCAGTAAAGAAAGCGTCCTCGTTCCAGTCGCTCAAAACCCCTTCCTCGTCCGACTTGAACGCTGATAAGAGTGCTGCGCTGGGGACGCCTTCCCCAAAAGGGTCCATGAGCAACCTAAAAGGCGTTTCGTCCAAAGTTGGGAGCTTGGAAAATATCAATCATACCCCCAAAGGCGGACAAAAAAAGATATTCAACGAAAAGAAAACATATAATGTCACTAGCAAAATTGGGTCGCTTGAGGTAGATTGACGTGAAAAAACAAGATTGGGAGACGGGTTCTTTGTCATGTCTCCCCCTTTTACAAGCTAAAATATGTTGCTACGGCTTAGAATATCAACCATGTCCCCGCTGGCGGCAACGTAAAGATTACTTCCACTAAGCTGGACTTTGGCTCCAAAGTGTCCCCGCGCGTTGGAAGCTTGGATAATGTTAATCATGTTCCCGCTGGCGGCAAAGTGAAGATTCACAGTGAGAAGCTTGCGTTCAAAGAAAAAGCTGCTCCCAAGATTGGCAGTCTTCCAAAGTCGAACAGCCGGAAGAGTCTTAATGGATCGGACAGCTAGGTAGCGAAAGGATTCATGTCAAAGTTGGGTCTCGGCTGTTTGTATCTAACGTTTGCCAATTTTGTTTGATTTAGGCTAGTTACGATGCACTCTACACTGCAAAAATGATAGTAAAAAGACATTAAAGACATTTTGTAAATTCCTTTGTAAAATCATAATACACTTGCGTTCAATTCCCTATTCTAAAATAATGGTTCGTGAACCAAAGTCAACACATGGTTATCATGGTATTAAACGCCAACGGGCCGAGCAACCACTCATTGGAAAAGAAAAACATGATGAAATGATTTATTGAACTATATCAAGTCGCTAGTGATATCGAATCTGCTCTGCACTGACTACCCTGCCTAAAAGCTATCCTGGCGTCGCTATAAGCTATTCTACATTATTTGTGCAAACGGGTGGTATAGTTGGACAATGGCGCGATACCAGTCATAAACGTCCCAAGGTGATCTACAAAACAAGCGCAACACCTCAGCATTCTGAATGACAAGAAAAACGGTCTATAGCAATGCTGCTCACCTGCACCGATTTGCCTGGTGCTCAGCTTGTTAGCTGGTAAGCACCATTTAGGGAGGACAACTTTCTGCCCGGGTGCGCCATAGATCCATCCTTCACACAATGGCTTCAATGCGGTAACTGCATCACCTTGCTTCTGGAGATCAGTCATGTCTGTTTCCTTTAGATCGTCGCCAATCGTATTGGATGGGACCATCAGTCCACCGAAGGGCCCATAGTCTTTTTGGTAGGAGGTCCGCAGGAGACGCTTATCCAGTTGAACATGCTTTACATACGCAGCAGCAGCGCCAGTGAGACCTTGCTCGACTAAAGGACGTGCGCTTGATCTGGCAGATTTCGGTGGGGTTGTAGGCGGCGTGACAGTGACACGGGCTTGAATAGTAACAGGAGGGATGGGAACGGAATCGGGTATGGTCTCTGCGTCGGGTCCACGGTATGTCGCACGATCCTTCACCCCGTGCGATGTACGAGGATTCCATGTCCCAGCTGCCATAGCCGCCCTCTCTTCCATGATTACCGACTGGGCCTGTTCGATTTCTGTCGATGGAGTGGTGGGCACCGGCCAGATCTGTGGATACGGCTCTGTAGGCTGTTTTTCGGTGATTCGCTGACTACGAGGGACGGAGACGGATCGTTGGGGAGGAGCAGTAGCCTCCGGTGGTGTAGGCGGGAGATTATGGTGATACACTGGCAAATGACTTGGAGCGGGGATAGGTCTGAGCGGATGAAGTTCAGGCCGGCGAGGGTGGTAGTCTATGACAGGCATGACAACATTTGTCCGCGACGATTGTGGTACGACGGGAAGTGTCGCTTGATTTACACTTGAGGGTTTAGTTTTACTGGTGCCCATGCCATAGGCTTTCCATGCCTGTTGTTGAGTAATAAATGTTGTGCTGGGTAGAATAGATCGTTTGTCTTTGCATGTGGATTCTTTCACTGACTTTGAATCTTCCTTGTTAATATTCTCGGTAGCCAGTTCTTTGTGATTTGTGACTGTCACAAGGCCAGCTGCCGTGGTTGGCAGTTTGGGAAAAAGCCCATCTTTCGAGATTCCCTCGTCTATCAATGTTTGCTGTGTCGGGTTAATCGTCTTCAGATGGTGCACAGGAACGTTGCTGGGTTGAATATTGGCCGCTGCGAATCCATTCTCATTTTCAGCATTTGCAGATGCTGTCGATTGCTCCTTTTTCTCGACGCTTGATTCCTTCCTTGAGCCTCTTCCGCTTCCTTCCCTTTGACCATTCCGTTTGGTATGTCCGCTTTGTACACCCAACTTAGCTCCGCCCATGCCAACCCACCCACCAACCCCCAGTCCTGGTTTTCTTGACATGACACCGATCTGTCCAGCGGGCTTTCTCCGTTCGCGCTCTTCAACTTTCCTCAGTTCAGGGGGACAAGGTGCACAACCTGTCTCGTCCACAAAGCAAAATGCCTCCCGCTTTCCAATAATCCCAGCAGCAAGCACATGCTTCTTTCCAATTGGACGGAACAGGTAGGGATCTATTTCGCTTCGGTGGTAGCTCTTTTCCCAGGCGAGCTCGTGAGAAATGCCTGGAGGCATGGCCGTTTGACCGGGGATGTGCACGGAACGCTGCCATGGGTGAATATGAACGTTGGCGTGTAGGTAGCTGCTCATGGTGCGCCTGATAAACTTGGAACTTTGTCTAGCGATTGATGTCGTATATGAGGCAGGTAGCGAACCATCCAAATCTATCTATGCGCTGTCAGATCTAGCAACCAAAGTTCACAACCCGCCCACGATGATGGAAAAAACAAGGTAAAAAAGAGCCCTAAAGAAAAACCAACAACCAAGTAGTACGTTTTCGGATCCTCCAGCACTCGACAACACCGTGAAACCAGCAATGGCAACTACAATCCCACTAGAAGCAGACACACATCCTGACAATTCCATCCATCCCTCACAACCACATCCAAACGCCTCGATCATGTCCTCATTTCTCCAAAAGCATGATAACAATGGGTTAAAAAAGGCGCGCGCCCTTGATCGATCGTTATTAACTCATCTATAGCTCTTGGGCGAGATCTTGTTACCCAATTCGACCCTTAAAACGGGTTGCTTTGCATGGTTTTTATTTTGGCCCACCATATGAGACGAAGAATCTTGGCCGAGGTTTCCCAATAATCAAGTGCATTTCCTGCTAACAGATATTGTGTGGAATCCTTTGCTAAAAACAGCCCTTCTTGATCACTTGAGCGCTAGAGAATCCAGATGACAATCAAGCATGTCGCATTTTGACAATGTACTATACAATAACAAAAAAAATATACATCTTTTGTAGGCATGATCTCTTAAATATATTGTCGCAGCCGGGGTTCCTACTCAGCAA